TTGGCATTTTTAAAACTAAATTATTATATCCGGAAACTGATTTTAGAAATCAAATTCAAATTTCTGCTTTAATATGTGCCTTCTAAGACTATCAAGGCAAAACAGACGTTGATATAGATGTTATTGGAGACACCGGGAATCTAAAATTGCATTTCACAACATATCTCCTCAACTAAGCAAAAATCCTTAGCGAATTGGTTTCTAGTACTCATGAAGAAATAAGAGGAAATGAAGAACCATCGATCGCCTGGTGATGATGGACTCGTTATCGAGGCAATAAAAGCAGGAGGAGAAATTTTATTAAAATCAGTAAACGAACTGTTTAATAAATGCTTACATGCGCGTACGATTCCAAAAGACTGGAACAATGCAGTAATAGTCTTGTTACACAAAAAAGGCGATATTACTAAATTAGAAAATTATAGACCCTTGACACATATGTACAAACTCTTTATGAAAATCTTAACAAAGAGGCTAACACCTAAACTTGATTTCTATCAGCCCAAAGAACAGGCAGGCTTCAGGGCAGGATATGGCACAAATGACCACTTGCATACCATAAAGATCTTAATAAAAAAGTGCATCGAGTACAACATACCACTCGTTCTTGCATTTGTCGATTACGAGAAGGCTTTTGATTCTGTAGAGTTTGAAACAATACTGGAAGCCCTAAATCAAAGCCGAATAGATTACAGGTACACGACACTAATCAAAAACATCTACGAGAACGCTACATCAAGTATACGACTACACGAAGACACAGAAAAATTCAGCTTAGGTCGAGGAGTTAGACAAGGAGACAATATTTCACCAAAATTGTTCACGGCAGCTCTTGAGTAAATATTTAAGAGCACTCAATGGCAAGATATGGGCATCAATATAGATGGAGAAAGATTAAATCACCTAAGATTTGCAGATGATGTTGTATTAATCGCAGATAATTTACAAGATACAGTTTCTATGATGCATTCGCTTAAAAGTATGTCTAAAAGAGCAGGATTAAAGATAAACTTTGAGAAAACTAAACTTATAACAAATCTCGTAATGAGTGGAAATATAACTATTGACAATAATATCATACAACAAACAGACACTTACAAATATCTGGGACACGAAATCAAAATAAGCAGAGACAATCAAACACATGAAATACAGAGGCGAATAGGCCTAACTTGGGCAGCATTTGGCAAATTAAGCCATATTCTAAAAAGTTTAATTCCCATGTGTCTTAAGCGAAAGGTTTATAACCAATGTGTGTTTTACCTGTACAAACTTATGGAGCAGAGACTTTTACACTCACGCAAAAATCTGCGAATAAACTCAGAGTTACACAACGAGCCATGGAACGTTCAATGCTGAACGTGAGCCTTCGAGACCACATAACAAACCAACAAATTAGGCAAAGATCAGGAGTTCAAGACGTCATCGAAAGAACCACGTCGCTTAAGTGGAACTGGGCAGGGCACTTAGCCAGAGCACAAGATGGACGGTGGACAAGACGTATTATGGAATGGAGGCCCAGAAACTATAAAAGAAGCCGAGGACGACCACCGACTAGATGGACCGATGATATAAAACGTTGTAGCGGGAAAACTGGCTACAAGCGGCCAGTGTAGAGAACACTGGAAAGAACTGAGGGAGGCCTATGTCCAGCAGTGGACGCGATTGGGCTGATTGATGATGACTCATGGAGAGTATACCGAGATGAAAGAAAATACATTTAAGATTTGATTTCACGCAGTATACGGTTTCTTTTTGTAAAATTACTTAAGGACCACCTTGTATTATATATTATATATATATATATATATTATATATATATATTATATATATATTATTATATATATATATATTATATATATATATATACACTGTTTTTGATGGGTTGGAGTCAATAAAAGGGGCTATTTGTTGACTATTTTTTACTCGAGCTTTCAATTGTGATTACAATTTTTATCAAGAGCTTCTAAAAAATACAAAATGTCTTACAAAGTTGAACTAGAAATAAAAAATTTTTTTGTTAACTCACCAAATAAAATTAGTTTCTTATATAAAACTACTGCTTACATAATAAATACAAAAAATATTAATAAAAAAATGCCTTATTCTAATAAACGTTTCTCTGAAAAATTTAGATGAAGTTTCTTAAGAAAAAATTGAATTTATAAACAAAAATAGAATAGTTTTTTTTTTTTTTTTGTTTATAAATTCAATTTTTTCTTAAGAAACTTCATCTAAATTTTTCAGAGAAACGTTTATTAGAATAAGGCATTTTTTTATTAATATTTTTTTGTATTTATTATGTAAGCAGTAGTTTTATATAAGAAACTAATTTTATTTGGTGAGTTAACAAAAAAAATTTTTTATTTCTAGTTCAACTTTGTAAGACATTTTGTATTTTTTAGAAGCTCTTGATAAAAATTGTAATCACAATTGAAAGCTCGAGTAAAAAATAGTCAACAAATAGCCCCTTTTATTGACTCCAACCCATCAAAAACAGTGTTATATTTTTTCCAAACGAGTCACAAGTACTTCTTTTTTCTTTTTTTCTTACTCTTATATATATTATATATATATATATTATATATATATATTATATATATATATATATATAAGCAATTGTCCCATTCTCAACATATTCAGTTAAAGACTGTAAAGTATAAAAGCATACCAAAACTAGATTACGTGAGAAAGGCACTCTGCCTAAATAGGTAGCTGTTTGTAGTGTTACTAAATTATAATAAGTTTTGTTTGTTTCATTGTTAGAAATATTTTACTCTCAAAAAGTCTCAATTTTGATGTAACCTGTTTATCAGTTTCAAAACTAGACATAATTAGTACTGTTGAAAAAGTGTTTGAACAACTAATAATATAAAAAGGTAGAATATAGAACACTATCCAAAAGGGAACTGTAAAAAAGCACAAAATCGATAGCAAATATTCTTCTTCTTAGAGTGCCGTCTCTCTATGGAGGTTGGCAATCATAATCGCTATTTTTATTTTAGAACTTGCTACTCTGAATAAATCAATCGATCTGCATTGATACCAATCAAGTAGATTCTTTAACCATGAGTTCTGCCTTCGGCCAACAGATCTTCTTCCTTTAATCTTTCCCTATATTATGAGTCTCAAAATTTTATATTTTGGTCCCCTCATCACGTGGCCTAGGTATTCCAGTTTTCTGGTTTGTATAGTGGTGATTAGTTCTGTTTCTTTACCAACCCTCTCCAGTACTTAATCTGATCTCCAAATTTAGATTTTTGTACGTTAGGAGTGGCTTCATTCGTATAAATGCTGATCTGGCAATCTCTATTTGCCTGTTTATTTCTACAGTATGATCATTGGTTTCATTGATCAAAGTTCCCAAATACTGATATTTTTCTACTTGTTCTATCACGTTACCATTGATTGTCAATAGGTGATGTATAATTTGTGGTCTTTTTGTAATTAGCATGTACTTCGTTTTTTTAGCGTTTATAATAATTTCCATCTCAGCACTATTCAATATTAGTAAAGAGAAACTCAAAGCTCTAAAAGAAGATGATTTCATATTATTACCAGCTGAAAAGAGTAATACAACTGCAATCATGAACAAAACTCAATACCAGGAGAAAATCCAATGACTAGTCACAAATAGACCACAAATAAAAAACACTGAACCACATCACTGGAGAATAAAATATACAAACACTACATAAATTTAAGGAATACAACTATTAGCATATAATACAAAAACATGTATAAAGCATTCACATCCTTTTTGTAAAAACTAGCAGAAATAGATTACAATTCTATCCTAAAAATACGCTAGAAACTTTTGATATTACCGACCTTTTCACAAATGTGTCTTTATAAAAAAGTTTAAAAGTAATAAGAACCAAACTAGAAAGGGATTGATACATTGACAACAAAAACAAAACTGAATATGTCAACTATAATGGAGCTATTAACACCATGAACAGACAACAAAAATTTTCAACTAGACTATGATTTTTACAAACAAGATTTTGGATTGACCACGGCACTTATCGGACATTCCAATATTAGCAGATATTTTCATGGAGGAATTTGAGCAAAGCATTGTGTATATACATGACCAAAAACTCACAGTATGGTGGAGATATGAAGATGATGTGTTGGCCTAATGGACCAGAAGCGCTGAATAAATTGTTGGTGGATATCAGTACTAAAGAATAATTAATCAAATTTACCATGAAGGAAAAAAATACTTACTATCTTATGTATGAGTTAATCTACTAACCTTATGAATGCAACCATTTTTTCTGGGAGAAACTTTAAAACCACTAAGTGTCACGATAAACGAGCATGAATCATACATCACATCAAGAACAGCGACTTCTACAGATCCAAGATTTGCAAACATGTCTGGGACGATAAACACCGAGTAGAATGGAAAGATGAATTAATAGTCATGAGAGAAAGACTGTAGAAAGATAAAATCAAAGAAGCAGCACTCATCTTACTTAATGAAGAAACATATGTGGCAAACCCATTAACAAAATGTGGCAGACTTCGGTTACCAATACTAAAAGAAGGAATCAACAATAAGAATATACCAACATTAATGGATCAATAGGTCAGATATAATTAACTACATTAACACGCATAAATCAGAATTTGATATCAATCCCGAAGGTACAAGATTACACTACAAATTCTCTTACAAGAATTTTAACTCAAAACATGGCTATTGTCTACAAGATCGAGGCTAAATAAGTCACCTGTCAAATTGGCTGAAACAAAGCGCTAATTAGTAAACAACCATAAGTTAAAATAACTCCTTGTTTTATAATATATTTTTTAAACAATTTCCTGATTAGAGATCGAAATATACAAATAAAAAATGTAACTTTTTTTTAAATTAATTGTGTTTTAATTTCATATAGATACAATATTTAACATAAAAAAAAACGCCTCAGAAAAAAAGTTACAAGTAAAAATATCTGCAAAAATCAAAGAAAATATGTAAAGTATCTTACACATATTTGGTGATTTCCGTCATGTGGGGTAGATTAGGATGACTGTTTTTAAAACACTCTGGTATCATCGTTCTTATACTGTAGTACATATCCAATTTATTTTTTGTTTTTTCAATGCTGAACTTGTTGGTTACGAGAAAACTTTCTATAATACTGGTACCTACAATAAAAGCAACGTGTAAATAAACAATGTTTTGTTGTTTTTTTTTTTAACAATTTTAACTATAATTTTACACACATTAACGGATATTAAGGATTCATTTGATATAAAATGGATAATGGATGTTTAGTAAAACACATCCTCAGATATCGGCGATCGGTCTCTTATTTAACATAATACACACTTCTGATTTTCATTTTATTGTATTCTCTAGGTTTTCACCCTTTGCAGGTGACACTAAAATATATAATCTTGCAGAAAACAGTACCGCTATTCAAGAAGCTTTAAATCATGTGCTTATGCGTAGCAGTACATAGTAATAAATATCCAGAACTATTTCCACCCTAAGTAAATCGTAAAGTTAGATCTTTGTTCGAAACAGAATCAGAAAGCTTCATCCAAAGACGTAAAACAGTTTTAAGCGGTCGGTTTTACAACTAGTTTAGTACCAAATTGTCCATTATGGCACCAACCGTTTTGAAAAAAGTAATAGATGAATATTTTTGGATGATATCAAAAAGTGAAAAAGAAAAAATATTGGTGTAAGAAATGACATAATTATCTATTTACATATGAATCTACTTATTGAACTATCCATCAGAGAACCTATAGATTTTAAGAATTACTAACGAATAGATACCTATTGCTACAAGTGTTGAGACAGTAGCTGACATTGTTTTTTCATGATCTACACTCATAAGAGGAGAAAGAAGAGTATCAAAAAGAAATTATATAACAGAAGCATCGGTAGATTTGAAAGACACAAAGACTGGCGTTATTGTGGCGAGAGTTGGAGACAAACTACAAATTTATTATATACTACTATAACTATACTACTATAACAAAAAAAATCGAGTATTGTAATAGCGCAACAACAGTAAGAGATACTTTTTTCAATTAATTTAAAAGAATCGAAAAAGAATAAAAGAACATTTTCTATATATTTCGTCGAAAACTGGCTATTATTATCCATTATTATTTTACTTATGTATTCTAAAAATGAGAGATACAATTAGTGCAAAAGAAAGATTAACTGTAACGTTAAGATATTTGGTTACTGGAAATTCATTGGACAACATTCAAGAACATAATCTTTATTTTTACATAACGCAACATTAAAATAATATTTGGTCAATTAACACTTTGTACTTTTTACTAAAAATCATATTTATACAGTATGAATTAAACACAAAATAATGTGGCAAATTAAATCAATTTTTATTATTATGTACTTATATTTTCTGGTACTGTATTACTTCCTATTGCGCTGAAATCGTATTAAGAAATCGTTTATCCAACCGAGTTGGACGAGAGATTTTTAAGCATGCCATACTTTCCGTACGATTCAACTGATCATACGACATGTTGAACAATAAGGCATTCTGCACACGAAGCGTATCATCATAGACGCGTATAAGTTTCGTCATGCAGCGACGATTCCTTTACGCCTTAAAATCCGCAAACGATTCGATTTGCATGCGGTATGTGATCGTCTTGTTTTAAGGTTTTCCATGCTTTGACAGTAGTTACAAAGATGTCAAGTGATGAAAAGGACTTACTTTTGTTAAAAGTAAGTGCTCTTCCTTCATCACTTTTCGCCACCGCAAAAAAAAGGAAACAGGTAATTTTGGGTGCAACCTTATATCTAAAAAAACTACAACATAAGGTTATTTATTGCCGCCAAAGAGTTGTCGGAAGATGACTCTAAATTACACACATTTTACAGAATGTCTAAAAATACATTTAAAGAATTGGTGCCAATCAAAACCACAATACTAACATGCGTGAGTGTGTTAGTTCAGAAGAAAGACTTATGATGACACTTAGGTAAGTAAAATGCGTACTATATCTAGGTATATTTATTAAAAAAATATTACATTAATATTTGTAAGAAACTATGTTGTTGCATATTGGTCGAAGGAGGAGAAATGTCATCAGTAGTAACTGTGCTGCAATTACTTCTAAGAAATGAAGTTATGGCAACATCACTGGGCGAAGAATCGGGTGTGCTGACTGTATTCATTGAAAATCCACTTAAGATGTGTGATGCTGATTCGTGGTGGTGATAGCCTATTCTTGAAGTATCGTGATGTAGAAGTGTTAAGTTACATTATTTTGTTCCTGTTAATTTTGATTAACTGTTCGATTTCCGTTAGAGTTTGTATTTTAAACGTTCGTAAATTTTCGTCAGATAGGCTTTTTACATCAGGTAGTAAACTTAAAAGAAACATCTTTCGATTATCATCTGGTGATTCAAGGGTATTCCTATCTTTTTTTATTTACATATTGTAAAACTGCTTGATTAACAGCGTCACCTTGTCTTATACATTTTTTCTTTTTTCTCTGGCTAGAGATAGTTTTCTGAACACGTTTTGATGATTCGATTATTGAACTGTTACTATTTTCTTGAGTATTATTTTCAGCTATGTTTTTTTCGTTTGATGGTGCTTAAGATTATTCGTCTTCATCTGACTGCGTCAATACCTCAGTGTCTGATAGCGAAATATTTCCAGTATTTTCTAAATGTTGGACCGGTCTTATATATGGCAATACAAACTGCATAACTTCGTGCAAATAGTAAGGTTTTTTTGATTTTGAGAAAGATCCAGTGTGCTTGTGTATTACACAATTTAATTAAAAAAAAAACGGTGCATTTTATACAGTACCTTCAGCATTTACTGCAACACAAAATATTCCACAAAAGGTAAGAAATGTGCCAGAAATAGATAATATAGATATAGATGAAAATTCTTTACCTCAACTTTTACGAAATTACTTAGCAAATTAATTTTTATTACAAAATACTGCTTTAACATGGAAATGGAATTATTGTTTATAAAATATGAAAATTAATTTAATCAATATATATGTAAATAAATAACAATTAAGTTTTATTTTAGCCTATCTGACCACTGTATTTGCTTGGCTACTGCTGACTTTTTCAGTCACATCTTTCTGGAGTACTCTTGCAGGGTATTATTATATTAACACTAATAATTTTCAAACAGTTGGACAAGTTTTAATATTTGATCCGCCATTCTCATAAAATTCCGTCAAAAAGGTGTTCTAACTAAAGCGTAATGCAAGCGACTGACATGCCTGGCGGCTTAAAGCTTGTCTGTGTTGACTTTTGACGATTCCGCACCGCTTACGCTTCGTGTACAGCAGGGTTGTCCAACTGGCGGCCCGCGGGCCGGATGCGGGAAGCTATGGCCCGGCGCAAATTGAGCACAGCCCACGCACATCCCACGCGCAGCCCACGTATGGTCCAACCTAGTCCAAGTACACGTTTTTCAATACTAATTCGAATACTAATCGAACACAGCCCACGCCCATGTCAAATATTTGTGTAGAATATGTTCTATCCATAAAATTAGGAAAAACACAATTTACGAGTGTGCTGATTCTGACGAAAAACCTGGACTATGCATAGGAGATTTCGCAAATACTATTCAACGAAAAGATAGACTATTTTCAGTATATTAGTTTAAATAAAGATTTTATTTTCTAGACATTTTAATTTTTACCTAATATCCCACTAACAATTTCTAATCTGAAAATATAAATATCTTGAAAACTTTCACAAATGCTAAGGGTAAAAAATTGAAATCCTTCAACAAAAGACTATAGATACCTATAATTTGAATAAGCTGCTTTTGCCGATTTGACTTTCTTATTACTAATTGGCATAATAAGCAGATATTTTGCATGATAAAACAATTTTAACAATTCTGTTAAAGATTAGATTTTTGTTTCATTGACAACTGAACCTGATAATAATTTCTTGAGAACTTTTACATATGATAAGGGTAATAAATTGAAATCCTTCAACAAAAGACTATAACAGGTAGATACCCATAATTTGAATAAGCTGGTTTTGCCGATATTGACTTTCTAATTACTAATTAGAATAACAGGCAGATATTGTAACTGGCCACAATGCCGTTGAATATTCCGACTTTCATTTCGCTTGTTTTGAAAACTCCATCGGATAATAATTTCTTGGTAACTTTTACAATGCTGAGGTGGCTGAGGGTACTAAGTTGGAATCCTCTAACAAAATACTATACAGAGTATTGTTGAAATAAGTGAAATAACGTATAACAACACGAGAGCTAAAAAATACAAAAATTCCAGATCGTATTTTGTTTTCGAGATAAATTTAAATTTGAGATTTTTTTATTATTTTTCTAGTTTCTTCATGTTCTTTTTTAAATTAATTTCAGTGTATAAAAGCCATTACAATATGAGCATCACGAAAAAGTACCATCAAATTTTATTTTGAAGTTTTCATCTTAGGTGTTCATAAACATTTTGCTAGGAAATGAAAATTTGTTTTTTTCCTTGGTTCTCGATTTATTATATTTCTCATGTGATTTAATAAAAAATTAATTTAAATTAATTTTTTTTTAATAATTATAACGGCGACTTACATCCGAGTCGCTTAGCACAAATAAAGAAAATATTAGTTTTGTTCTCATGTAATCTTCATTAATAGTATCATAAAAGACACTAAAGCTTCGAACAATTTTAATAAACTTTTCCATTTTCACTTAATAACAAAAAATTGGTCACACAAAACAAAATAACTAAGGTTAGGTAGAGACCCACGACCCACGAAACTGTGTTGCTAGCACAACTGTATCCACGTCAACCCACGCCAACCAAGTCTGGCAGTAGCCTGGCCGTGGTTTGGGTTTAATATGCGTCGCTCCGTCTAAAACCACGTTTTACAAAATAACCCACGCGTGGGCTGCGAGTGGGATATGTGTGGGCTGTGCTCAATTTGCGGCGGGCCTATTTGTTGTGACCCACGTAAGATTTTCGAAAAGCATATATCTTCTTTAAATGCTGCCACTGTGAAAAAAGATTTTTTAATTTATTTTATATTTTATGGTTTAGCAGTGTTTTTACATCACAAGTACTGTACCGCGTGCCGCTTCGCGGACGTGTAACGAACACAATCGTCCTCCATCACTATGAGAACTGCACTGATTACT